AAAACACAAAACACAACAACACACACAACACACAACAAAAACAACAACAAAACACACACAACAAACACAACAACAAACACAACAACAAACACAACAACAAACACAACAACCACAACAACAAACACAAAACACACAAACACAACAACAAACACAACAACAAACACAAACACAACAACAAAACAAACAACACAAACAACAAACCAACAACACACAAACACAACAACAAACAAACAACAAACACAACAACAAACACAACAACACAACACAACAACACAACACAACAAACACAAACACAACAACAAACACAACAACAAACAAACAACAACACAACAACAAAACACAACAACACAACAACAAACAACAACAACACAACAACACAACACACAACAACACAACAAACAACAACAACAACAACAACAACACAACAAAACAACAACAAACAACAAACAAAACACAACAAGACACACAAACAACAAAACACAACAACAAAAAACACAACAACACAACAATACACAAACACAACAACAAACAAACACAAACAACACAACAAAACAACAACAAACAACACAAACACAACAACACAGAACACACAACCACTAACACTAACTTGGAAACACAAAACACACAAACTGAAACACAAACACAAACACAACAACAGCCAGCAGCACGGTCCTGGTCTGACTGGAGGAGACTTGGGCCGGAGCCACAGAGCCCAGGGCAAAAAAACTTTTTGTGTTTAGGAAGACACTTCACCCACATTGCTGTATGGAGTGGTGGTGTGTGTGTGTGTGAGTGATGGTGGTGGCCAGAGGGACCGATGGGCAGAATTGGCACCCACTTCCGTCAAGCTGCCCAGGGCGCTGTCTACAGTAGCAGTTTACACCACAGAGTGTGGAGAGACTGAATAATGAAGTGTAAAGAGCTTTGAGATCTTGAAAAGTGCTGTATAAATGTAATCATCAATCAATCAATCAACCCTTACACAAACACACACACACACAACAACAAACACACACACAAACACACACACACAAACACACACAACAAAAACAAAACAAAACCACAATCATGAACACAACAACAAACACACACACAAACACACACACAAACACACACAAACACACACACAAACACACACACACACAAACAAACACACACACACAAACACACACAACAAAACAAACACACACAATCTTTCATTCACAAATGTTCATATATTTACCAGATTAATTGTATAAATTATCATCTGTGTTAATTCTTTTATTTTTTATGATTATTTTACTCGTCTGTTTTCTGATTCTCTCTGTCCCTGCTCATCCCTCTCTCCTCTCTCTCTCCTCTCTCTCCTCTCTTTCTCTCTCTCTCTCTCTCTCTCTCTTTTTTCTTCGTTTACCTCCTCTCTCTCTCTCTCTCTCCTTCTCTCATCCTGTTTTATTGCTTCCCTCTCTCTTTCTTGATCCTCTCTCTCTCTCTCTCTTTCTCTTCTCTTCTCTTCTCCTCGTGTCTCTGATGTGTCTTTTGTTCGTTCCTGTTCTGTTTAATGGAAAAGGTTCATTTAGATCTAAAAAAAAGAATCTGTTTGTGAAAAACAAAACGCAAACAAAAAAGACGTTTACACAGAAACTCGTGTTAAACCTGCGAGAGTCTGACACGTGAAGAGAACAAACTCCAACTGGACCAAAGAGTTTCTGTTGGAGTTTCTCTGAGTAAAAGAGTTTGGAGCTGGTTTCTGGTTCAGATTTCTGTGTCTGTGAAACAAAAACTCACAAATATAAATGTAAAGCTGCATTGTGTAACTTTTCTGGTAGAGGCTCTGTCCAGTTCTTTTCTCCTCCATTTTCTGAGTCAAATACCTTTTTATCTCCATGGAGACCAAACCAGACTGAGTCCCAGGTCAGATCTGTGGAGAGGCGACTCCGCTCACAGTGACACCAGAACGTTTGTGGGTAAAAACCACAAAATATTTGATGGGAAGTGTTTTTAGTTTAGACCAGGAGAGTCAAACTCATTTTGTTCGGGTCGTTTCCGGATCAGAAAACTCATGTCATATAAACAAAAATAACAATAAGTTCAAATATTTGTGCAGAGAAACACAAATCTATTACAGAAATCTTTTTTAATTGATGAACTCTTTCTTTTACAAAATATTATAATATTATGAACAACCTGAAACTTTAAGAAAAAATACAATTTCAACACAAAGTTTGAACATGAACTTGCTGTAAACAGAATAAGTCCATTTTTGTTGTAAAATCCTGCACTCGGCTCCACTTTTCTCATGTTGGACATTTTTCTGATGAGGGGTCACGGTCAAACAGTCAAAACATCGTCCTTTAAGACGTTTGGAAAGAGACAAGTCTTCATTTTGTGCTGCTCTGGTGGGAGGGGCCACGTACAGAGACGCTGGAGACGCTGCTGTGATAAACACCACAGAAAATTAACAAGATTTTAATAAAAAAATAGAATTAAAATATTTGAGTAGAAAATCAGCCGAGGGACAGATTAAAGGTGTTGGAGGTGTGTTTGACACCCGTGGTTCAGACGGTGACGGAGTTTTTGGGGATTAAAAACACAAAAATCTGAAACCTCCAGAGTGGAAAAGTTGAATAAACTCCACTGTAGAGTTTCTGTCTAAACTGAACAAGACGATGGTTTTGACGAGACCCTCAAAAGAAAAATGTCCAACATGAGAAAAGTGGAGCCGAGTGCAGAATTTTATTACAAAAATGGACTTATTCCTGTTTACAGACAAGTTCATGTTCAAACTTTGTGTTGAAATTGTATTTTTCTTAAAGTTTCAGGTTGTTCATAATATTATAATATTTAGTAAAAGAAAGAGTTCATCAATTCAAAAAGATTTGTGTAATAGATTTGTGTTTCTCTGCACAAATATTTGAACTTATTGTTATTTTTGGGGTTTATATGACATGAGTTTTCTGATCCAGACACGACCCGGAACAAAATGAGTTTGACACGTCTGGACTAAATGTTGTGTGTGACATGTCTCTGTGCCCACTCTTGTCCCGGTGCCCGCTCTCGTCTCTCATCCCGGTGCCCGCTCTCGTCTCTCGTCCCGGTGCCCGCTCTCTCTCTTGTCTCGGTGCCCACTCTGTCCTCGGTGCCCGCTCTCGTCTCTTGTCCCGGTGCCCGCTCTCGTCTCTCGTCTCTCGTCCCGGTGCCCACTCTCGTCTCTCGTCTCTTGTCCCGGTGCCCGCTCTCGTCCGTCCTTCCAGTGCCCGCTCTTCGTTCTCTTGTCCCGGTGCCCATCTCGTCGTCTCTGTCTCTCGTCTCTTGTCCCGGTGCCCGCTCTCGTCTCTCGTCCTCTTTCCGGTGCCGCCCGTCTCTCGCTCTCCCGGTGCCCGCTCTCGTCTCTGTCCGGTGCCCGCTCTCGTCTCTCTTGTCCCGGTGCCCGCTCTCGTGCCGCTCTCGTCTCTCGTTCGCTTCGTCTCCGATGCCCGCTCGTCGTCTCTTTCTGGTCCCGTGCTCTCGCTCTCGGTCTCTCGTCTCTTGTCCCGGTGCCTCGTCTCGTTCTGCTTCTCTCGTCTCGGTCCCGTGTCTCGTCTCTTGTCCCGGTGCCCGCTCTCGTCTCTCGTCTCTTGTCCCGGTGCCCGCTCTCGTCTTGTCTTGTCCGGTGCCCGCTCTCGTCTCTGCCCGTCTCTTGTCTCGGTGCCTCGCGTCTCGTCTCTTGTCGGTCGTTCGTCTCTCGTCTGCCCGCTCTCGTCGTCTCTTGTCGGTGCCCGCTCTCGTCTCTCCGTCTCTCGTCTTGTCTCGTCGGTGCCGCTCTCGTCTCTCGTCTCT